AGTATTTAGCTTCACCACGGGAGCGAAAATATCGGTGTAGTCAATTCCTTCCTTCTGCTGGAAACCTTTGACAACCAGTCGGGCTTTATATCTTCTGGAACCATCCTGCTCCTCTTTCACCCGGTACACCCATTTGTTGTGGAGTGCCTTCTTACCCGTGGGCAACTCAGCTAGTTCCCACGTCTGGTTTGATATGAGAGACTTCATCTCATCTTTCATTGCAAGCTCCCACTTGCTCGCATCTCCACACTGACAAGCTTCATCAAAGCTTTCAGGCTCCCCACCATCTGTCAACAACAGATAGTTCATGTATCTCCTGTTGGGTACAGGAGGACGAGAAGATCTTCTTAATATCGGAGCTGGTGCGTCGGGCTCCTGCGCACCATCTTGTCCAACAGGCTCTTCTTGCTGAGGACCCTCTGCATTGGGTTCTTCCGAGAGGTTACTCGGGACATCATCTGCATCTATAAATGTGGACTCGCTCTCTGAGTCGTCAGTCTTGTGCATGTCCTTGTACATCACCTTCTCGTTGAATATCACATCTCTGCTCCGGATCACCTTCTTGTTTTCGTTGTCCCAAATGCGGTAGCCGAACTCATCTTCACCATAGCCGATGAAAGTGCATTTCTTTGACTTGGGATCAAGCTTATTCCTGCCTTGATCACTAATATGCACGTAAGCTACACAACCGAAAACTTTAAGATGTGAGAGTTTTACCTCCTTTCCGCACCATACCTCCTCTGGTATTCTGTGCTCCAATGGAACCGATGGACCTCGGTTGATCAAGTAAGCTGCTGTGTTGACCGCTTCTGCCCAGAACTGCTTCGGTAGGCCTGATTGTACTCGAATGCTTCTGGCTCTCTCTGTCAACGTTCGGTTCATCCGCTCAGCTACACCATTTTGCTGAGGCGTGCCGGGCACGGTTCTCTCCATTCTGATCCCGTGCTCATAGCAGAACTTCTTGAATCCGGTGTCTTCATACTCACCGCCATTGTCGGTCCTGAGCTTCTTTATTCTCAGACCGGTCTCATTCTCGACCATAGCTTTCCATCTCCTGAAAGCCTCAAATACTTCTGACTTATGCTTCAGAAAGTAGACCCACACTTTCCGAGAGTGATCATCGATAAAAGTCACGAAGTAGTGTTTTCCACCAATGGACGCGGTGGTTGTTGGTCCCCACACATCTGAGTGAACGAGCTCTAGCTTCTGCTTCCTGGGGGTTCTGCCACTTGTCTGAAAGCTGACTCTCTTCTGCTTTCCAAGTATACATTCTTCACACATATCCATCTCCACTGACTGCAGTCCTGGGAGTTTTCCCTTTGTGTGCATAATCTTCATCCCCTTTTCACTCATATGACCGAGTCTCTGGTGCCACAGCTTTGAAGTCTCATTGCCTGCTGCAACTGAGATCAAACAACGTGCACCTGCTGTCATATACAGGGTACCAGTCTTCTTGCCTCGGGCAATCGTCATTGCGCCCTTTGAGATCTTCCAATCATCTCCATGGAAGGTTGTGGTGTATCCTTCGCCAGCCAACTGGCCTACGGATATTAAATTCTTTCTCAGGTCGGGAATATGCCTGACATCCTTCAGCTCCCATACTGACCCGTTCAACTTAATTTTCACCACGCCTTTGCCCACAATAGCACATGGTTGATCATCACCAAGATATACGTATCCAAGATTTCCGGGGGTATACTTCTCGAAGAATTCTTTCTGAGAGGTAGCATGGAACGACGCTCCTGAATCTAACACCCAAGATTCCTCCTTGCTCTCCAAAGAGCATATCAATGCGTCGTCTCCTCCTGAAGTGGAGGTGACATTCACCTCTGCCTTCGCCTCCTTCTCCTTCTGTGCACTCTTGCACTGATTCTTGTAATGCCCGGTCTTTCCACAATTCCAACACTCGATAGCCTTCGAGCTGTTGCTTGGATTCCTTGATTTGGACCTCCTGTCCTTTGATCTACCTCTGAAGTTTGATTTTCCTCGTCCGTTTCCTCTGGTTGAATTTCTACCTCTTGACTCTGTATGCAATACTGAAGAGGTTGTAGCTTCACCAGTCTCTCGCCGTCGGATCTCCTCACTGAGAACCAAATCACGAACGTCGCCGAACTTCAACTTTTTCTTTCCCGATGAGCTACTCACTGCCGTGACTGTAGCGTTCCAACTCTCTGGTAGGGAAGACAACAATATCAACGCCCGAACTTCTTCATCAAACTCAATCTCAACTGAACTCAATTGGGTTGTAACCGTATTAAGTTCATTGAGGTGTTGTGCTACTGACGCGCCTTCCGCCATTTTCAGATTGAATAACCGCCGCATTAAATGAACTTTATTTGCGGCTGATGGCTTCTCATACATATTTGAGAGAGCTGCCATAAGACCCGCCGTGGTCTTCTCATTCGCTATGTTGAACGCAACATTGCGAGTCAACGTCAATCTGATAACTCCGAGGGCTTGTCTATCTAGAAGGTTCCACTCTTCTTCCTTCATAGAATCTGGCTTCTTCCCCGATAGTGGTTGATACAGATTTTTCTGATACAGATAATCCTGAGGGCTTGTCTATCTAGAAGGTTCCACTCATCTGCCTTCATGGAATCTGGCTTCTTCCCCGATAGTGGTTGATACAGATTTTTCTGATACAGATAATCCTCTATCTGCATTTTCCAGAATCCGAAATCTGTTCCATCAAATTTCTCAAGTCTCATTTTTGCCTCATCTGTGGCCATGGCTCCCACTTGAATCTGACTTGTTCTAGATCGTTTCACGCTCTGATACCAGTTGTTAGGAATTTAACGCCTAAACCCCTAATTGCAACAGAAACGCAGTATAGAAAAAGTACACCAAGATTTAACGAGGTTCGGCAACTGCCTACGTCCTCGGGAGCCACACAGATAATTTCTTATTAATCAAACAAGAAATTACAATTTAGGAGCAGATCTCAAAACTGAGATTTCTCAAATAAACACTGTAGCTACAGTGTTAATAATCAAAGGGTATGAACCCTTTCAATTCTCAACTTGAGAACAAATGAATAACCCACTATAAAAACCCCTTTTTATATTCCTCTCTCTCCTTAAATCTTTTTCTTAATCTCCCCTCAAAATCAATTGAGCGCTGGAGATGGGAACGCTGCTGCGTTCTTGGTCGCCGCCAGAAGAAAAATCGGAGGAGGGGTAAAAAGCTTCAGCCACCGAAACCCTAGCGGGGGGTTTAAATAAGCGATGAGGGGATGAGCTGGCGACAGCCTGTCGCCAGCGACCCGCGGACGCCAAAAGAAGGGGGGCGAACGCAGAGGTCGAAAGACGCAGAGCTCGAATGGGGGGTCGAACGCAGACTTCGAAGGGTGCGTTCGCCCAACTCTGCGTTCGCCGAAGTGTGCGTTCACCGAAGGATGGCGTTCGCCGTCTTCGCCTGCATCATCTCCGCCATTCTCGAGCTCGTCGGAGCTCCTCCGCCGTCGGTGATAACCGGAGCTCGCCTGCGGTTCGTCGCCCACGCACGCCTGCAACATCCATGAGCTCGCCGGAGCTCTTCGCCGGTGCAGAGGTTGGAATCCACCCCCAAATTAACAGTCGATCCCACCCTTGAATCGAAGTTACATATGGGAACGTACTCATTTTTTTGCCCGCGAATGATGTAGCGCTTCATTCGTGCCTCCGAGATAGGCTCATTAAGATTCAAGAGAAAGATCTCTGAACAAAAAATTTTAATATTGAGAAAATATTGTGAGATGGAGAGGTCGCCATGAGTAGCATTTGCTAACTCATTCTTAATTTAGCAGTTGTAGATGGGCCACATTATTTTTGTTGAATAATCCTTCGGGAGTCTTCCAAATATCTGATGTCGACTTGCATCCCATGATATGCTCAAAGATATCATGAGAAAGAGTCCTCTCCAAGATGAACTTTACTTTAGTATTTGAGGTGATCTCCATCTCTTTGCAGCATTCACATTTTTTTTTTCATTTGTTGGAGGACCTTGAGAGTTTCCACTGACAAACTCCCACGAGTCTTCACCAATAATGCGAACACTGATCACTTCCCTTATGGCTTAGTACCATGTGAAGAAGGGCGACAATGTACAAGCCTTTCTAAAATAGTGTGACTTATATTCACAGTAGCCCAAGGGAAACACCAAATTATGAAGAATTGAAAGAGCACAATCAAATATTTAGAGGGTAACAAACAACTTGTATTGTATATAACTTTGTACAAGAACTTCCAATTACAAGAACAAAAGGAAACATTCAATTACTTGCACAAGGAGTCACAAATTAAGATCGAATACTTCTTTAGAGGTGTTGGAGAAATTCATTGTGGAATGATTTGAGCAAAGGAGAATGGTTTATTTATAGGAAGGAAGGGAGATCCCTAGATATTAAGGGGTTGTTTGGTTGTTGTTGGTAACGTTGTGTATTTATGACACAACTTGGAAAGTTGTTGTCCACCTCATCAATTTCACTTTTATACTTTTCTTTGTTTGTTTTTGATTCCATTGGAATCATAAAACACTTGTTTGGTTTGTAAAATGAAACTTAAATTGTTTGTTTGGAAAGTGTAAAAAGTGGTCCCTATTCAAATGATCATATTGGTTGGAATTATTTTTTATTATTTTTTCCTAACTTCAATGTTAGCTTTCTCCTAAAATCATGTCTTTTTTTCATGAAATCACTTTACAAGCCACATCAACATATGAAATCACTTTACACTATTTTCACAACTACAAACAAACAATTGAAAGTGATGAAAGCTGACATTGGGACCCACTTTTTTACACTTTACATCCTTTTACATGGTAAAAACATACAACCAAACAGCCCCTAAGATAGTTAATGACATTGGAAATGGTGATCAATTATTGCTTCAAAAATGATAATCAAGCATAGATATTGATCATGATCAAACATGGGTAATGGTGGTCAAACATAGATAACGGTGTAGGTAGGTTTGACTCTACGAGAAGAAATCATCAATGTAACTCACGTGCAAAAAATAAAATTAAAAATAAAAGAAAATTAAAAACGCACTTTAATAATTTAACAGCTGTTCTTCTAGTTTGCATCTCACGACACAAACAAGTGTCAGGACTTGCAACATTTTTTTGTTAAGTGTCGTCTTAGTTCAACGTATCGCAACTCCAGCCACAAAACTAATCGTATGAGAAATTTTTGTGTCGCAAGTTGCACCTTTTGTTGTAGTGATATTTTCAAGCCACGCTCTTCTCTAAAAAAGGAATATTTTAAAGTTTTAAACCACAAACTCTACATAGAAATTAAACAGCATTTATGAATATTAACCTGGTAAGCAGAAGTACCAGCACCAAAAAAGAATCCAGAGGGGAAATCATCTCTACTTATTGCAGCGGCGGCAACTATGGATTCAAACATCAACAGGAGGAAGAACGTTGTCTTGCACGAGGAGAAGCTGTTTCCACTCTCCATTTTGTTGTCACTAATAATCTCAAAGAGCCCCTATAGAGGAATATATACTACAATTAGGAAAAAATTTGGGGTATAATATGGAAAAAAAACCCCTCAAGAAGGGGCTAAATGTGGATAGACCCATGTACTATTGCCAAATTATGGATAGACACTGGATACTTCTACTATTGTAGACAGATCTTCTGGATTCTCAACTCCGTTAGTTTCACGTTAAGATTTTTGGCTTCATAAAATGGAACCTAGCTAGCTAGGAGCTTCATGAATGATATAAACATGCATAGTGATCATTACATGCAACTAAGTTAAATGAAAAGCTAAGGGGCTGTTTGGTTGTATGTTTTTACCATGTAAAAGGATGGAAAGTGTAAAAAAGTGGGTCCCAATGTCAGCTTTTTCATCACTTTCAATTGTTTGTTTGTAGTTGTAAAAATAATGTAATGTGATTTCATATGCTGATGTGGCTTGTAAAGTGATTTCATAAAAAAAAGACATGATTTTAGGAGAAAACTGACGTTGAAGTCAGAAAAAAATAATAAATAATAATTCTAACCAATATGATCATTTGAGTAGGGATCACTTTTTACACTTTCCAAACAAACAATTAAAGTTACATTTGCAAACCAAACAAGCAATTTATGATTCGAATGGAATCAAAAACAAACAAAGAAAAGTATACAAGTGAAATTGATGAGGTGGACAACAACTTTCCAAGTTGTGTCATAAATACACAATTTTACTAACAACAACCAAACAGCCCCTAAGAGAATTGAGAATCCGGAGGGTCTATCTGCAACAAAGTATAGAGGGTCTACCGCGATTTGGTGATAGGACAGGGGGTTTATCGGCTATTTATCATTAAACATGAGAGAGAGAGAGAGAGAGAGAGAGAGAGAGAGAGAGAGAGAGAGAGAAAAAATGAGAGAGAGAGAGAGAGAGAGAGAGAGAGAGAGAGAGAGAGAGAGAGAGAAAACCTTGAAAAGGCTGCTGAATATTTGAGGAAGGCCGCGACGAGGCTTCACTTGCTTGTAGATAATATCAGCAACGCCATTCATGTTTACTGAGAGTTAATTGCTGAAAGATTAGGACATTTGGAATGTGCAATTATTAATTTTAAAGTTTTTTTTTTCACAGGGAACCACCCCTAAATTCGGTCAAATTTATGTTAACACCTTTAATAACCCCCAAGTTTTAAATACCGACCCCTATGCGTCATTACATCAGCATGACAGCATATAACGAAAACAAAAATGCAAATATTCCAATCAATTTCTTCGTTAATATGGATAAAAAAAAACTGTTTACTAAATTTCCTCCTTGCTTTTAACTTCCAAGGTGGCTCACGCTCCTCTGTAAATAGACACATATTTAGCACGTGCATGAGAGTTTATCCGTTAAACAACATTATTTGTATGAAAAATAGTCTGAAGTGGACGTAGTTGGGTTTATGTGAACAAAATATGCCACATGAAGGTGATTTCGAAACTTAGATAATTTGTGGAGGGAGGTGAAATTAATTGGGCTTAATCTAGGGTGGTTTTTACTAGTTAGTAGATAGTTTTCTAGTTATTGGATAAGATTAGAGTTGTAATCTTAATCCTATATATATGTAAACAATTGATGAGTTTTGTTAGAACGTGAATAATAGAAAACACAAAAAAGTTTCCTGCTCCATTACTTTTGTTGCTGCTCCTTCTCTGTTCGGGTTCAATATCAGAAACAGATATTTTCTCCTCTGTTTTGCTGCTGTCCGTTCTCAGGAAATCTGCCAGTTTTTTTTTCGGTTGCTACAGTGTTTACAGGTTTGTAAATTGCTGTTTTTTCTAACTCAGTTCAGATCTGATCTCTGGCCGATCCTGTTAAAGAGACAACAAGTGGTATCAGAGCGGTGTATGCCTAAGTACCAACCAAGATCTGAAGAGATGACGAGTTCGGAGAAGATGACGACCAAGGTGGGCTCGCTCACTCTTCAATACCCGACGTTATCGAGGGACAACTATGCTTCGTGGGCAATCAAGATGAAAGTCTACATGAAGGCTCAAGACGTGTGGGATGCCATTGAGCCCGCGGCAGGCGCGTCCGTGGAACACAGGAAGGATCAGATGGCGTTGGCGGCCATCTACCAGGGGATTCCTGAAGAGACTTTGATGGTGATCGCAGAGAAGCAAACGACAAAAGAGGCATGGGAGACGTTGAAAACAATGCATCTAGGAGCGGATCGTGTGAGGAACGCGAAGGTGCAGACCTTGAAGTCCGAGTTCGAACTTCTCCGGATGAAGGAGAATGACAACGTCGACGATTTTTCGACGAAGTTGACAGGAGTCGTCAACAAGATCCGGGCTTTAGGCGGCGAGATGGAGGAGAACTACGTCGTCAGAAAGCTACTTCGGGCGGTACCGGAGAGATTCCTTACTATCGTCTCCACGATTGAACAGTTCGGGGACATCGACGACATGACACTCGAGGAGGCGATCGGGCGTCTCAAAGCCCACGAGGAGAGGGCACGTGTTTTTCGAAACAACGTCGACGATCACCTATTGTTGACGCATGCGGAGTGGCAAGCAAGGAGCAAGAAGAACGGCGGAGGCTTCCTCTCAACACCTACAACCAATGATGGCAGCGGTCGAGGACGAGGTCGCGGGGCCGGTCGTGGGCGTGGCCGTGGCCAAAGAGGCCGAGGCGGACAGCAGCACCACGGCAGCGGGCAGCAGCACCACGCTGCCCAAGCAGGCCGCGGAGGGGAGCACGGCGGCCAGGCAGGCCGAGGCGGCTTCGGCGGCAGAGGAGGACGTCCAGGAGGTGGTTTCGGCCATGGAGGTGCAGCTCGCCAGGAGGGGGAGAGTAGCACAAGCGGTGGTCGAGACAAATCCAACATCAAATGCTTCAATTGCGGAGTATACGGGCACTTTCAGTCGGAGTGTCACAAGCAACGCCGCAACCATGAACAGGAGGCTCATCTCACCCGTGCATATGACGAGGAGCCAACCTTGATGATGGCTATGTTAGAAGAATCGTCAAGTGCTATTTTGCTTAATGAGGAGAAGGTGGTGCCGGATTTACTTACAGCGGGGGAGGCACATGTTGACAACAACACTTGGTATCTTGACAACGGAGCTAGCAATCACATGACCGGCCACCGAGACAAGTTCAAGGAGCTCGACGAGAACATCAAGGGAACCGTCAAGTTTGGTGATGGATCCGCGGTAGAGATAAAGGGGAAAGGCTCAATCCTCTTTCAGTGCAACAACGGCGATCAAAGGCTACTACCTGAGGTATATTATATTCCAAGTTTGAAATCTAACATTATTAGCCTTGGTCAGATGACTGAAGATGGTAGTAAGGTAGTTATTGCTGACGAGTTCCTGAGGGTGTTTGATAGGAACAGTGCTCTCTTGATGAGGGTGACACGTTCAACTAACCGATTGTACAGGATAGAGTTAAAAACTTGCAAGCCGGCGTGTTTGATGGCGAATATTAACGATCCAGCTTGGCTATGGCATGCTCGCCTTGGGCATGTAAATTTCTTCACCCTCAAGATGATGACTGAAAAGAGGATGGCTTCCGGGTTGCCGAAGATCTTGCATCCGAATCAATTATGCGAAGGATGTCTCGTCGCCAAGCAAGCAAGACTGCCGTTCCCTTCACAAGCAAATTTCAGAGCTCAGAAGCCGCTGGAGTTACTACATGCAGATCTATGTGGTCCGATCACCCCATCTACACTTGCTGGGAACAACTACTTCCTTCTTATCGTTGATGATTTCAGCCGATGGATGTGGGTATACATGTTGAAGGCCAAGAGTCAAGCTTGTGAAACCTTCAAGAAGTTCAAAATAGTGGTTGAAAACGCATGTGACCACAAGGTGAAGACATTGAGGACGGATCGTGGTGGCGAGTTCTTGTCAAAGGAGTTCACCAAGTTTTGTGAAGACTACGGCATAAAGCGTCATCTCACTGCACCGTACACCCCGCAACAAAACGGTGTAGTGGAGAGGCGTAACCGCACGGTGATGGACATGGCGAGAAGCCTACTTAAGAGCATGCATATGCCTGGAACCATGTGGGGCGAAGCGGTTAGGCACGCGGTGTACATCCTCAACCGACTACCAACCAAGGCGTTGCACGACCACACACCCTACGAAGCTTGGTTTGGTAAGAAACCCCACCTAGAACACTTGAGAGTTTTTGGATGTATGGCGCATGTGAAGATTGCAGGTCCTTCTCACAAGAAACTCGACGATCGGAGCACGCCAATGGTGTATATTGGGGTAGAAGAAGGAAGCAAAGCGCATCGCCTCTACGACCCTCAACATGGCAAAATACGAGTCAACAGGGATGTCGTGTTCGAGGAAGGAAAAGAATGGCAATGGGGCGTAGACGGAGATGTAGAACCACCCAGCTGGGTAGAGTTCGCAGCGGGAGAGGAATCAAAAACCGTCGGCACTACAGGCGGTGCATTGCCAGACCAGCCCGCAGCTGGCCGAAACTGTCCAGCTGCAGGACCACATGTCGCAGCGGCGCTGACCGGAGATGAGACTGGACAGCCGGCACACCAAGCGAGGCAGCCACCTGCTGCCCGAACCAGTCCGCATACACCCGTAGGTGCAGCAGGCCGAACCAGTCCAAAAATTCCTGCAGGTCCAGAAACTGCTGCAGAGGCAGCGAACCCTCCTGTCTTGGACGCGCTCGGACCCCCTGAAGCTGCAGTGATGACTCCTGTACGCTATCGATCTCTTGCGGACATCTATGCGGAGACGGAGGTGATCGACCTTCCAGCAGAGGAGTTGTTCCTGATCACTGAAGAACCCGCGAGCTACAGTGAGGCTGCATCAGATCAAGAATGGCGGACAGCTATGGAGAAGGAAATGGAGGCCATCGAGAAGAACAAGACTTGGAAACTCACGGAGTTACCGCGGGGTTCCAAACCCATTGGTATCAAATGGGTATACAAACTGAAGAAAGACAATGAAGGCAACATTCTCAAGCACAAAGCAAGACTTGTAGCAAAAGGGTACGTCCAGCAGCAAGGCGTGGACTTCGATGAGGTGTTTGCACCCGTGGCGAGGCTTGATACCATCAGAATAATCCTCGCCATATCAGCACAGAATGGGTGGGAGGTGCACCATCTGGATGTGAAGTCGGCATTTCTAAATGGTGATCTCCAGGAAGAAGTTTATGTGGTTCAACCTGAAGGGTTCGTTGTGAAGAATCAGGAGCACAAGGTCTACAAACTATCAAAGGCACTCTACGGTCTACGCCAAGCACCTCGGGCATGGAACACGCGCCTCGACAAGTGCATGAAGGGCATCGGATTTGCAAGATGCACTCAGGAGCAGGCGGTATACACAAGGAGTAACAGAGGAGATACACTCATTGTTGGCGTGTACGTAGATGATTTGATCGTTACGGGCTCAAGGGCGGATGAGATAAAGCTTTTCAAGCAACAAATGATGAAGGAGTTCAAGATGAGTGACCTTGGTTTACTTTCTTATTACCTTGGCATCGAGGTGGATCAGCGAGATAATTGTATTGCACTAAGGCAGGCGGCCTATGCGAAGAAGGTTTTGGGTCAGTTCGGCATGATGGATTGCAACCCGACGCAATATCCTATGAAAACAAAGCTAAAGCTTGGAAAGGATTCCGAAGGAACACCGGTGGACGTGACGGAGTATAGACGGATTATCGGATCTTTGAGGTATCTAACTCACACCCGACCCGATATCACATATGCCGTGGGGATTGTGAGTAGGTACATGGAGCACCCTACAGTTTTGCATCGACAGGTTGTCAAGCATATTTTGAGGTACGTGAAGGGTACTATGTCCTACGGATTGGTGTACAAACGAGGTCGAGGCAATGAAGAGTTGGTGGGATTCACTGACAGTGATCTTGCGGGAGATGTTGATGACAGGCGCAGCACAGGCGGCATGGCATTTTATCTAGGTGACAGTTTGGTCACTTGGACATCACAGAAGCAGAAGACGGTGGCATTATCATCCTGCGAGGCAGAATTTATGGCGGCAACTGCAGCAGCGTGCCAAGGCTTGTGGTTGAGGAGCTTGATTAGCGAATTGATTGGGTGTGAGCCCAAGCCGGTTACACTTTATGTCGACAACAAGTCCGCGATTGCCTTGATGAAAAATCCAGTTTTCCATGGAAGAAGCAAGCATATCGACACACGTTTTCACTTCATTCGTGAGTGTGTTGAGCGAGGACAGATTAAAGTGGAGTTCGTGAGCACGAGCGAGCAGCGAGCGGATATTCTCACGAAGGCACTAGCAAGGGTGAAGTTCATCGAGATGCGAGAACTGCTAGGAGTAAGGGACTTGGAATCTCGTCCAGATTAAGGGGGAGAATGTGAGTTGTAATCAGTCCAAGGATTGTTAGTTAGTAGAATTCTAATTAGAGTAGAATACTAGTTAGTAGATAGTTTTCTAGTTATTGGATAAGATTAGAGTTGTAATCTTAATCCTATATATATGTAAACAATTGATGAGTTTTGTTAGAACGTGAATAAGAATCAAAAGGTTCCTCTCCTCTGTTCGTTCTCTCTCTGTCTACAGGTTTTGCTGCAGTTGTTCGGTCCCAAAGAAAACTCCCAGGTTCCGGTTTTGCTTTGTAAACAACTGCAGGTTCTGTTCCTTCTCTGTTCGGGTTCAACATCAGAAACAGAGACTAGAATTCCTGCAGCAGAGTCCCTTGTGTTTGGTGTTCGGTTTCTCCAAAAATCAGACAGGAAACTTTTGTTTTCAGGTTTGTATAAAAGCTTACAGGTTGTGAACTTGGGTCGATCCTATTTCAAAGCCAACAAGATATCCTTTTTGGAGTCAGGTTTGTATAAAAGATTACGTACATCATGA